CTGGTGATTTATTACTGGGCCTAAAGTTATTGGGCTGGGGTCTTTCACCTTTACACAGTAAGGTTAAGGACGTGATGGTGTATGTGAGCTCTCTCATGCTGCGCCCCTCTACACACGGTCATGTTGTAGACCCACACTTGGCCAAGTACCACTGCACTGGTGTGTGCTCAGAGATGTAGCATTGCGTGTTAAGGCACGTCTGGGAGCTGTGCAGATGGCTATTCTTATTGATCTGTGGTTTTCAAATTCTGCTCATCTGAACTGAGGGGGGTCTGGATGTAGGATGCTTCTGGAACCACTTGGAGTGGGGGAGGGATTGCTGAAAACAGGATGCTGAACATCCAAATCCAACTTCAAGCAGACCCAATTAATCTTGTAGAGTTGTTTGTATAGTTTGTTCAGTTGACTCTTGGCCTAAGCTTTTGTTGTTTTTGTTTTTAAAAGAAAAGTATCCTTTGCTAGAAATAAACCTAGATACTGTCAATTTTGCCCACCATGTGTTGCTTCTACCTTGAAAATAGATCCTGATTCCAGTCATTTGCATGACCTCTGTAATTTGAATTCTCTTCATTGTCACCTGGGTTATTGTCTCACCTCTCTGAGCCTCCTCACTGCCACCTTGCTCCTGCAACCCCACAGGGCTCAGCAAGTTTTTTTTCTGGAAAGGATCAGTAAAAGAGTATCTTAGACCTTGTGGACCATGCAATCTCCATTGCAACTACTCCACAATTACTCAACTCTGCCATGAGAATCCAAAAGCAGCCCCAGCTAGTCAGCAAGCCCACGGGGGTGATTTTAATAAATAATAGTGATATCTAAACTAAACTTGTTTGATTAGAACAGGTGGAGGGTGGGATGTGAACTGTGGGCTGCCAACCTCTGCTTGACTCCACAGCAACACTGATCTGTCTGTGCCTCTTTAAAAGCCATGTTTACATTAGACATCTTTAATCAATCACAGCCATCCTCAAATAGTAATGCATCTCTTTGCATTTAGGGTAGGATTCTTAGGACCATAAATTCCCCCCACCTATCTCTTGTGCTGTTGTTGTCTTAAATTTTACTTCTACAAGTTCTGTAAACTCAGGAGACATTGTTACTACTTTTGCTTTAGAAAGATAGTATCTCAGAGGCATTAAACCTTTAAGAAACAATGTCTCACTGGGCAGGGACCTGCCTGTAACCCCAACTACAGGAGGAGGCTGAGACAAGACGATTCCAAGTTTAAGGGCAGACTGGGCAACTTAGTGAGGTCCTGACTCAAAATTTTAAAAAGGGCCGGGGGATGTATGTGCCTTAGTGGGTTCAATTCCCAGTGCCAGAAGAAAAAATAAATGTCTTTTATGTTTGCCTTCATTTCAAGGGATCTTCATTTTTTTTAGTGAACATCCAAGCGTCTTCCTGGTAGCACAGTCTTTCCATCTGAGGGACTTCTTTTAACCTATCTTATAATGTTATAATGCTGGTCTCAGTTTTTGTTTGAAAAGGCTTTCTTTCTTTTCTACTTTTGAAAGATATTCTTTCTAGGTGTAAGATTGGAAATTACCAGTGGTTTTCCTTTTAGCATCTTAAGGGTGTTACTCTATTAATCTTTGACTTGCATCATTTCAGACAAAACACATGCTACTAATCTCTACCTCTGGTCTCTGTAATGTGTGCCTTTTTTATATTGTTCCAAAGTTCTGGTACCTTATTATTTTGTTATATATATATATATGTTTTTTTTTTTTCCCTTGTGATTCCGTTTGTATGTTTTCCATCAACCTTCAAGTTCACCGATTCTCTCTTCAGCTGTGTTGAATCTACTCATGGGCCCATCAAAAGCATATTATTTTTTCTATCTTGCCACTTTTTCTTTTACATTTCCATTTCCCTCCACTGAAGTGTCTCTCTGCTGAAATTCCTCATCTATTTAAGCATGTGGTCCACCAGAGCCCACTGTTGATAGATTTGTCTCTTGATGAAGGGCTTTTTTTTTTTAAAACTTTGTTTATTTTTACATGGTGCTGAGGATCGAACCCAGGGCCTCACACGTGAGAGGCGGGTGCTCTGCCACTGAGCCACAGCCCAGCCCAATGGGTTTTGCTTGCTGTTTTATCTTGCAGGTTTGGGTTGAAGGCTAGACCTGCAGAAGAGCAAAGACTGAAGAAATGTGCCTGTCTTCCTCCTGCAGTCCCTTAGGGTGAGGGTTTGAGTCATCTAGGGAGGAATCCAGCTGGGTTTGGATTTTGAAGTCACTGTTTACTTTTAGTGGCTTCAAGTTCCCCTGGTGCTATGCTCTTGAGTGACTCTTGCGTTTAGAGATGTGGCCTACGGAAGTTGCTATGGGATAAGGTCATTAGAGATCCTATGACTGAATCCTGGTGGCTTTATGAGAGGGAGAGAGACCAGAATAGACACATGTTCCTGCTGTGTGCTGCCTCAGGACTCTGCCAGGGAGACCATCAGCAGATTCAAGCCCAAGAACCTTGAGAACTGAGAGATAAATAAAAATCTCTTTTCTTTACAACAAACCCAGTCTGTGGCATGGTGTACTAGCAACGGAATACAGACAGAGACACTCTTGCAGCAGTCCCCTGAGTTCCACACCCAGCCTGCCCTACACCCAGCCCTTAGCAGTTTTTACATTTTCTCCATTTTATAGATGAAGAAACCAAGTCCGTAAAGTTTGAGTGACTTGCCAAAGACACCCACAACTGGGACTGGAGCTCAGGCAGCGGGGTCTGTAGTGCAGTCGTTGGCCTCCACTGCAGAGGTTAAACTTAACCCTTGACCGATGAGGGAGGCTGAAACCTCACATGCAGCGACGAAGGCTCTGACCAGGCAGAAGAAACCACATGCACACACTAGCACGGGAAGCATGGCGAATTCCAGCTAGACACCAGGCAGTCACCCCACTGGCTCACAGTGAGCACCAGACTGTGACAGAGGCACAGCTGACTGTGCCCACACTCTACTCCTGACTCAATGGATAGACTACACTGAACTCCCCAGGGTGCCCCAACGGGCCGATTTCCCATCCCCAGCCAGGTGTTTTTACCTGGAATGTCCAACCTTGATGGCCCGGTGCTCCTCGGGTACTGCAGGCCTCGGCTCCAAAGTGGTCACATTGAAGACCCTTCCCCACCCTCCCTGGTCCTGCCTCCCTGCCTGTGCCTCACACCTTCCTGTCTCCATAGCATAGCACAAATCCACTTCTACCCGCCCGCCAGACTGCGCCCTCTACGCCGTGGGGAGGACTTTGGCTTTGGTCCCTCCAGGATGTCGAATATTAAATAGTTGTTGAAATGAATGGACTTGCGGGTCAGACAGGATTGTCTTTTTAGACCTTCCAGTTGTTAACAATCCACAAAAATGACTTCCTCGCTGCTGTGGTGTGTGTCCCCAAAAGATCACAAGCTGGATATCTGGTGCCCAGGGCAGCAGTGTGGGGAGCCTGTGGCAGGAGAGGCTGGGCTAGGAGTGTGTGCTCTCTAGCACACGTGCAGTGCGTCACCCTGGGGTGCCCACCACGTGAAGACGTGGCACGGAGCTGCTCGGCAGATGCTGGCACCATGTCTTTATAGACCTCAGACCATGAGACTATAAACGTCCTTTCTTCACGAGCGTCAGAAATGGACTAAGGACACTCTGCTGGCTCCTACTTTTAACCACTTGTGACTTATTTGTGCCACAACCAGGGGAACAGGGAAGAAGAGGTTGGGGGAACCTTCCGACCATTCCTGATAGCCTTCCCCTCCTCTCCTTTTCCAGATGAGGGTCTGGGGGCCTCAGCGGGGAATCGCTAGTTCAGGACCGAGCAGAGCCCTAGCGAGAACTCCCATCTCCTGAGAAGTATCCTGCTCTCCAAGGCATTGACTGCTTCCTGAGGGCGACAGAATGGGGTAGGAGGGGCTTAGTTGGGGTGGGAGGGGCTTAAATAGTCTGGATTCTCCTTGGGGAATTTGTTGCATGGATATTGTCTCAGATAAGTTCCCAGGTCCTGGAGTAAAATGGGTGTGATTTCAGGGGTGTGTGTGCACACTTGAAGGCAGCCATTGATCCAGATTGGGGCTTCAGGTTCACTCTGGCTGAAATTGGACCCCAGAGTCTACCCAATGCAGGATGCAACTCTGTGCCTGGTCCTTTCACCCTCAGTGCATCAGTGAAAAGGATGGGGCCCACAGCTCTCTGGAGAATGTTCCTTTGCAGGTTGACATTCGTATGATACCTTCGTAACCCTCTCTCACTGGTTTAACTTCTCAGGGGTGCCTAGAACACAGTTCAACTAGTCTGGCAGTCCTTGAACTGTAGGAAGTGATCTGACCTGCACCCCCATTGGCCT